AAATTGTGTATCAAAACAATGCCCTTCAGAATCTTTGAGATAAAATTAGAAGCTGTCTCTCTCTCTCTCCCCCAGTCTATTCCATTAACTATTAATTATTTCTTGCTGGTAATATTTTCTCTTTGGGATTCCTATGACTAAAAATCATTCATTTACAAACTTCCTGGTTTCCATTACCAGTTGCTGCATTTGCGTATGTGTGTGTGTGACTGCTCATTAGACGCAGTTAGATGTGCTAAATGCACTATTTTTTTATTGTGATCACAAGCAAAATATCAAAAAATCTCTACAAATCCTAAATTTAGACATGAACTATTAGTAAAAGGCTATTGCTATTATTATTATATTATTATACACATGGGGAGCCTAGCGCATCGCATAATGGCAGAAAAAAGTCAGAGCTGCTACCAAAGGGGCTAGCGGGTTCCCAACCAGGCGGCGTCCCGTGCCCCAATGGCTGCAGCTCGCGCTGCCGGCCTTCCCCGCCGTCCTCTTCCTCGGCGGCGCGCAATCTGCGCGATCTGGCCTGCGGGATAGAGAGCGCGAGGCCTGAGGCGAGACTCTTGTCGGAGGGCGGCCGTTGGAGAGGGCCGTGGCGCGAGGGGCGGTGGGGGAGGAGGGGGAGGTCGCCTATTTGAAATGGAACAGCGCGTGAGAGGCCTCTTGGGTCGGTTGGCTCGGGGGAGATTCGGAAGGCGCGAGAGCTCTGCTTCGCCTCAGCGCCCTGGCCTTGCTGTTTCGGCGGGGGGGGTGGATGCGCTGCGGTGCGTTGCTTAACAGGCACCAGAAGACTTAGGAGCTAATTGAGGTACGATACTACTCTGGCTCTGAGCAACGGTCAGAACAGTTCCTTCTGTCGCTTTTTTTAAAAAAGAGATGAGAGTTGCACCAAACAGGTAATGTGCTTCCAGCTGTCAGGATCCTGACAGACAATTTGTTGGATAGGTATTAAGTCCAACTGCAATTTGCTAAGTTCCTTACATCCTAATAGAATTAAAAAGTCATGCTAACCTGTGCATTTTGTAGCATTTGCGCTGTTCAGTCAATTTTTCTTGACATAATTTTATAACTGGCACCAATTTCTGCTACGAATGTTGGTCTACTGTACTGTGAACTAATGTTATCCTAACTAAACCCCACGAAGTCACTATTCCATTCTTCACTATCTTTTATTTGAAAATCAGTATAGCTGTTAATTGCAGATAATGCCCTAGGCATGCTGTGTGGTACCCTCTGGCAAGGGTGTAAAAAGTTCAGAAAAAGTTGCTGAAATATGTGAATTGGATCTAATTATAACTAGCTCCATAGAGGCCTTCTGTCTTCAGCCTCAGATTTTTCATCTTCTTGGACTCTCCTTCTCCTTTTTAGTATAACTAGCTCCATAGAGGCCTTCTGTCTTCAGCCTCAGATTTTTCATCTTCTTGGACTCTCCTTCTCCTTTTTAGTATAACTAGCTCCATAGAGGCCTTCTGTCTTCAGCCTCAGATTTTTCATCTTCTTGGACTCTCCTTCTCCTTTTTAGTAATGTTTTGAACTAATGTTTTATGTATTTATATATATTTATGTTTTTAATGTTTGTTGTGAGTCGCCCAGAGTTCCCCCATTGGGGGGAGATGGGCGGTTGAAAATTAAATAAATAAATAAATAAATAGCCCATGTTCACTCTTTGGCAGTTTGATCATTCTCCAGATCTCGTGGACTATTTTTTCACTGTGCTTGGCTAGCATAGCTGTGACTCCATAGAGTAATACATCTAAAGGAAAACAGGGTTGGAGGACAAAAACACATGGTTTTGGCCTGTTATCAGAGTTAAGCCATTTTTGCACATGGCTATAATACAGGTTATCATGTGCTGCTTACCTGAGAATGCTGACAAAGATTATGCATTGTCTCTTACAAATTATCTGCAATTTCTTATACAACATAAAATATCTTCCAGACCTTCACTTTATTTGAAAATAGTAAGTAACCCATAGAGTTGTTGGTAATATTGAATAGTTGATTTGACCTTGTACTGTATATTATTTTTTGTATTATTTTTTACTGTTTTTATTGTTTTAGCATTGTTCACCAACCAGAGTCACCTGTTTGAGATTAGCGGCTATAGAAATTAAATAAATAAATAAATAAATAAATAAATAAATAAGTAAACTCACAAACATACATACATACATACGCCACTCTGTCATATGTGTGCTCAAAATGATACCTGCCATGATTCTTGATGGAGAAGATTCAGTCTACTTTTATCTGGCACAACTTTGTGTTTCCTTCTGAATGAATATAGAGCATGCAAGGCATATACCACAGCATAGACTGCATTGTAGATGGGGTAACTGTGGCTAATCATGTGCATGCCAAAAATTGATGAAGGAAGGGTCTCTATCTTCTCCTACCCAGTGCACATATTATCATAATTCCTCTCTCCACTGGAGTTGGGGAATGAACATTGAAATGCTTGTTCCCAAAAATCCTTGAGAAAGCTATCTTCTGTATCGGAGGCTGGATTTCTTTTCCTAACAAAGTCCTGAAATCCTCCCAAGTCTCTTAAGTGAACCATGATGGATAGAGCACCATGAATGAAGTATAAAGGCCAGTTCCTTTGAAGAGAAGTTGAAGTGAAATCCATCTGGGCTATCATAATCCAGACTTTCCCCTTGTTTGATATATCTTGCTGGGATAACAGCAATCTCATACTCAGCATAAATTCAGTTTGTACAACTATAGCAGAGGCCATGCTTGCCATAACTATTTCATATACTTCATTTCCTTCTTCCCACATTTCAACAAACTCAGTAGTGTACGTCTTCTTGGGGGAAACTTTCAGTGAAGTCAAAGCAGATTCCCCTCTGGGCAAACATTGGAACCACATTCTGTATAAACCAGTTTCCATCATCATAGTGCAGCGAAATCATCCCAACCCACGTCCACCCAAAATATAGCAGTAATTGAAGAATTCCCCTGTATTGAAGGATATTGTCCAGGAACATCCAGTGGAAAAAATCTCCATGATTAATTGTAGGTGCAGAACCATAGATAATCTGAAGGGAAAAAAGCAATTGAAATGTGTTACTCTAATAAGTATGCAAAATTTAGTGATAGAATTGCTGAATTATGTAAACAATAAAAATGTATTTTGATCTGTTGATAGAGTCAGTAAAACACATAGCAAATTGACTGGCAAAGTTTGCTCCTTAAAATTTTTAATCCCATATCCCAAAATAAGCTTTTTCTTTTCTCACTTGTGGATTTAGAAAAATAAAAACAGAAAAAGAAGCTCATGTTGAAAGAATAAAGAGGAAAGAGGAGAAAAAAGTGAAAAGTTGAAAAATACAAATAAGAGAACAATAATGGAGGGAACAGTGATTAAAATAAACAGAGAAGCTAAATTAATTATGGTTTTAATTAATTAAATAAGTAATATAAAATACACCTCAAGTTTGCCTCAGCGTAATGTTATGTAGGCATGTCCTTGGGAGACAGAGAAGAGCTACAGACTGGACAACCAGTGTGTAAAAGTTAACTCATCCCACAGAAGGAGGGAGGATGTTAGAAACATTTCAGAAGGGGCCCTTCCTAGTTTTCCAGAGAGTAAAAGGAAAGGAGGGGAGAAATACTTTCAGTCTTGCAAGATTCTGTTAATGTAACCTTACAATAAAGATAGAGCTAGTACTCCTGGTGGTGATTCTTGTCTGGACTATCTCACTGGGATAACATTTTGTATTTGACTTTGTCCAAGCCAGAGTCTTTATTTTAAAAATAAAGCAAATATGACTTTTCCAAGCATACATGATTCTCCATTTTCATCGCTGCAGAATTTTAACAAGACAATTTCAGATTTGGTAGAAAGTTGTACCTGTCAAACCCATCTCATAGATAAAGCTGAACACTATCTGTTCTGTTTTAGCTATTTATACTTGATCCCAAATATTTTTCTGGTTTATAATGCTTTGTCTAGTAATTGCTGTCACAGAACATTTTATTTACTGTATAAGTTTTTTATTCTGTGTGAGAAACATAAATATATAAAAGCTGGCTGAAATAAAAATATGCAAGCTGGCCAAAATAGAATTCCCTGTTAATTTGTAGAGTGTTGACTTCCTTAAAGTTCTTACTTGATTTGTTTGATGAGAATCCTTCTGAAAACTTGGTCTTCATTTTTTTTTCATCGAAATGAATACCTTAAATACCCCATTAATTGTTAGTTGTTTAATTAACAATTAATGTGTAACCTGCTGAATAGGGAGGGAGGGAGGACGGACGGATGGATGGACATTTAAAATACATATATATGTTTAGGGGGGAAAAGGGAGCGTATCTCACCTGTTGAATCTTGTAGTTACACAGGATACTTGCCATGTCCAGAGAGATTTTTGTACTGGGTCCTCCAATGACAGCTACTGCATTGTTCTGGCCGTCACACTTATAGTTGGGGATGAATTTGTCCTTTGTTGAAAGAAGCTCCATTGCACTACGATAGGTCCAGCTTCCGATGAAGTTGCTGTTGTAAATATGGAAGCCCAAGGTGACGTTGGGTAGGAAGTGAGGGTTTTCATTGATTTCCTTCACAGCAAATGCCAAGGCCAGGGTGTTCTGATAGTTTTGTGTCAAGAATCTGTAAGAAGATTAAATTAACTTACTATTCTCTATCAGAATGAGGCATGCATTGCATCCCAGTGACAATTGCTCTGGGATTTTATAGCTGGAAAAGAACTATTATGACCTTCTTTCTTTAGCCTGACACCAAGTGACAGGGACAGGCATCTTTCCTTGCCACCTCAAAATAAAGTCTCGGAAATAGGAAAACTTTCCACATCATATATATCAACCATGAAACATATAGCTCATGCCACTTTGATATGCTTTCATTTGTAAAGTAATGGTCTTTTTCTCAGAAGCATCTGAGAAAATAGACTGGAATTTGGAAAGTTTAGACAACAATAAATTTGTTCGTGTCTAAGTTGCCAGAAGAAACTGTCTAAGGATTTGTTTGTTTATTTATGGCAAAAGAATAACAGGAAGTTAAGGGAAAATTAAAGCATAAGACTAGAAATCTTGACGAATGAAAAGTAGTCCTTAAGTTTTAAGTTAAGTTGTTAAATTAAGTTAAGTAGCCTTTAGGTTACTTAGCTTTTGCAGATAATCTAAGCAGAGATTTTAGAGCCAACATTTTCCAGAATTGCTTTTGAAAGTAACACAACTATAATCACTTAATAAATATGGCACAGGAGGTTCTTTGACTAATGTTCAACAATGAAAGAACCTATAGAGTCAGCAATTTCTCAGCAAGTGCAGTTTATTTAGTTTATCAACAAATCTGAATGTCTTACAAAGGGTATCCAGGTTGTTCATGAGAGGGTGGCATTTGAAATGCTAGTGGTTCAGAAAGCATATAGATTTGAAATGTTATGGCACCAAGGATCAGCTGTCCAGTCTTTAAATATCGGGGAATGGGAAGAGGTTCGCTGACCTGACATTTAGCAAGAGTGACACTGTAGATTATCTGAGACTGCAACAGTACCAACAGTGGAATCACGGCCATCTTGTCAGAAGACTCCCTGTTCATCTCTTCTTATCTGTAATTTAAATGTCTCTGAGCAACATCACTCTGAGAGGACAGAGCATAAAGTATCCAGACAGATCTGATGAAAATTTGGCTTTCTGTCTTTCTGCTGTGACAACTCTCCAAGATATAGGGAAGGTTATTTGTGTCATTTAGTCTTTATAGTCTTGCCAGTAGCAGCTAGAATTCCACAGAGAACTCAGAGAAGAAGTTGGTAATGATAGAACAGATAACTTCCTACTCATCCTAATTTAGCCATCCCTCCAAAAGGACTATAGCTTATCAGGAGGTCATCCATTGTGAGCAGTAAAACACACAGTGAAGACAAATCCTAACAGAGAAGGAAAAAGTTTCAAGATTGATTCCAACTAGTGGCCTGGATGTGGATAGAAATGTCAAACCCAGGTCACCCTCAAAATCTTCAATCTCACTCCCACATTTTCTCTTTATATCTACCACCAGTGCTTTGCTCTTCCACTACCACCATCACCACGGTCCTTGTATCTATCCCAGTTGCTTTTTATGAAAAATGTTATCACACTTCCTCTCAAAGACCTTTTTATTAAAGATCCAAAGGATGCCATTTGTCAGTTAGATGATATACTTTGCATCAATGAATGCAGGTATTGGTGCATGTAATGGAAGATCTTTGCACTCTTTTTCCCAGATGCTTAAGTCTCTCTCCCATTTCCTCTAAAGCAAGGTTGGATATGTCCATATGTCCACAGTCCTTTCTAGGATAGGTTGAGCAAGGATGCCCACATTTCTATATAAGACTACTCATAATCTTCTTCACATTGACCAGGTTATGATATTTTTCTCTTTTCTAGGTCATCGTACATGGCTCTCCATCACTACATCTTAGAGAGTACTGAAGAGTTTAATATCTAGGAACGATCTTCCAACCCAATGAGAAATGTAATGACCATAGCCTTTATACTTCCCCAAAAGTTCAAAGATGTTATAATGTTCTCTCTCTCTGTTTGTCTTTAACTCTTGAGAAATCTAATGCACTTCTGCTAAAATGAAGGTGTGTGACACCAAAGCACATCTCTTCTATGGGCTGGATATAATCCATGCATTAATTTTAGGTTGCTGAATATAATGTCCCAAGGAAGATCTTCTAGCATAGGTGATGTTTTCTTACCTGAATATTGTACTCTGCACTCAAGTAAAACTGACCAGTATTAAAACAAGGATATAATCTGCTATCTTTGCTTATGGACCAAAGCTAACCTCTTATCCTCAAGGTTTCACCCTAAGTTGATGGGCTGTTATCAGTCCTCTGAAATATGGGGTGTAGAGGGTAAACTCTTGCATTATAGATATTCTACTGAGTAAGAATAAGCCAAGGCAGAGATGAGGCAGAAAATGAAAGTTCAATTGAATGTAAGAGAATTCCTATTAAAGTTGAATTTATTGAGCAATGAAACAATTTAAACCTAGTTTGCAATCCTGATCAGCTCACTGTATTTAAATACTGCACAGTCTTCATGTTATAGCACTTGAACATCTTACCTTCAGCAGTCCTGGAAGTCTTTCAGTCTCTGAATTTTGATTTTGTCCTGATACATGTCAACTCCAATAACCTTTCTTAGACTGTTCCTAACTGCAAACATACTTCTATTCTCTACGGCTGTCACAGAAAGAGGATTTTCCCCAGCTAAGTCCTTTTATGGCAGAGGAACAAACATAATCCTCATCTTGTGTAAAATAGCCTCTACACCCCGAAAAAAAAAAAGTGTTGAAAATAATTGTCCTTACTGTTTCATAAATTAAATACAGAATCGGCTATTTGGCAATTAGCCTCTTTATAGTATTTGTATATTCCTACATCATTTTGAAAGATCCAGTGTTGCACATTGAACCACATTAGAAATGGCAATATCTAAAACTGAGAAAGAAACCATTTTCACCTCCTAAGAAACCCTCTCTTTGATGTCATGGGGATTTGATTAGAGAAAAGCTGAACATTTGCATATATATTCTGCTGAAATTGATATGCCATGGAAGTTTGGGGGAGAAACTTTGGGAAACTAAGAAGCAGAGGTTTGGGGAAAACTCTGGGATATCTGTTCGGGCAGACCAAGGCAAGTACAGTTCTGCAAATTTTATGAAGCTGAAAGAAAGTGGAATATAGACAGTGTCTTTCTATTAACCGCTTATTATGAAGTATGTAAGAAATAGAGTAGATCTCTTAGCAGAGGAAGGATAAATGAAAAGAGTTGAAAGTTATATTTCAATATTTATGTCATCCCCAAAATACATTAACCCATTATCCAGCCAGATTTGAGCTGGTATAGTGTAATAGCTACATTCATGGGATCATCAACAAGTTCTTCCGATGGAATTCTTTGAAAGTGATCAGGTTAGACATCATGTAGATTAGAGAAATAATGCCACTGATGATGTGATCACCTGAATGGTAAGACTTGTGTTTAATACTACAGTTGTTGATTGTGCATTTAGGATCATAACATATGACCTGAGAAAGCCATACTATCACCCACAGAATGAATAGCAACACAGCAAATCACAGATGTGCTTTGCCCAAATGATCATTGATACAGTTTATGAATATAGGACAACCTAACATTTTGGCTCTTTCTCTTGGTTGATCTGAATGCAGAAATGTATAGCAAAAATCTACTCATACAGCCTTGCTCTTCAAGCCTCATATTTGAATATGATAAGGAACAAAGAATATTAATATCAGCCAGTCTTGGTTGGGTTCCTGTTTTGTTCTGCACTTTGGAACTCCCTAGGGTGCAGAGGAGTAGAATTAAACATGGTCAATTATAGGGCATAACATGTCTTGCTCAACTGTTTCTGAAACCGCAGAAGATGATAATTGATCTCATGTTAATGTAAATGGTTTGTGGCTTTCTGTGTAGCAACAATGGAAAAACAGATTGTAATAAAAGACAAAGAAGATCAGGGAAAATAAATTAATAACATAATGTGTGAAAAAGAAAAACTTTGCCAGCTTTGTATCAGTACAGATGGTATGGCACGGAAGTCAGTTTTGCACTTGGAGTAGGTATCAAAAATGAGAAAACAACAAAGTTCAATCAAAAAGCTTCATTATCTATCAGAAAAAGTCCATGGTTTTAGATCACCAAGAGCCTGTTACTCTTCAATGGCCAAAACCCTTTAAATAATTAAAATGGGTTCGTTTTTCAAAATGTATGTTCAATATTGTTCTTGTTATGATTGATTGAGTGAACCTTGACTTGTGGTGCTTAAAACACAGGTCCATGGAGTTTTCTTGACAACATTTTCACAAGTGGTTTGCCTTTGCCTTCTTCCTGGGGCTAAGAGGGAGTGACTGGCTCAAAGTTACCTAATGGACTTTTATGTCAAATACAAGTCTAGAACCCACAGTCTCCCAGCTTCTAATTTACACCTTCAACCACTAGATCAAACTGGGTCTTTGAATATATTTTATTATTTTCTATCTCTTTCCTAGATTGCTGTACTGTGGCAAAATTTCAATTTGGTAAATGGTATCCAAGGAGATCAGAAATTACTTCAAAAGGAAAAGAAGAAGTTTTCAAATATCTAAGGTTCTCCTGGAACATGCTTAAACTATTCTGTGCCTTTATGGGCCACAGTAGAACATTTCTTCTTCTTTAGGTTACTTTCCCAAAAAGAATGTTTTCAACATATGAATGGATCTTTCTTAATGTTAGATCCCACTATGTGGAATTCCATAAGTTGAACATCTAACAGCTGTGACGAAGTACCAGTTGGGTTATTATATTATGGCTGTTGAAAACATGCTTCTCAATCCAGTCCATGCTGCATGCAGATGGAAAGTATCTTTAATTTGGCTACATTTTAACATCTACATGGTGTTACTTGATTATATATCTCTACCCATGCTACACCTGAGAGGTTGTATAGCGTGTGACCCAAGGTCTAAAAGCTATGAGAGACTGGAAGGTATACAAAGAGCTGAGGCTAAACCCCAAACAGTCTGGCTTGCTGTTTGTTGTCTTTGCTCTTGCTCCAGTCTTAACCCTGGGTGTGATGACATTCCCTTTGAGGGAGCAGGTCTCTAAGTTAAGAGTTCTGCTGGACTCCTGGCTATTGATGGATTTGCAGGTGAAGACCATGGTTAGAGGAGCATTCATCTAGCTTTCTCTGATGCTCCAGTTTTTAGGTGGAATGGGGAGCACTGGCTAAAGCAATCATGCCTTGATCATTGTAGAATGAGGCTCCAGCAGTGTATTTTACATGGGGTTCGCTTTGAAGACTCCTCAGAAACTGATTGGTGTAGCATGAAGCAGTCATCTGACAGTCAAGGCCCTCTATAGCAACATAACATCTCTGTTTCAGGTGCTTCATGACATTGCAGTGGGTTTCCAGGTACAACTCAAAGCTCTGTATTTAAGATAAGTTCATCTCTCACATAGAGCCAACTTGTCTCAGATGGAGAAGCTCAGAGTTCCCCACAGAAAGCTATTTAAGGAATTCCTCCTCTTCCCCAATACTCATGCCCAAGTCCGTTTCATCTAGATCTGTGAGAAGATACTGTTATGTTTTTTTCTGCTTGTTGTGGGGTTAAGACAGACTAACTGTTCCATTTTCAAGAAAAAGAAAATTCAACCACAATATTCACTTTTATGTTATTGCATTTATATGGTTATTACACTAATTGTAGCACTGGGTTTTTTATTAATTTTTTTCTGGTTTCTAATGCTTTGTCTAGTCATTGGATTCACTGAATATTTTGATATACAATCTATGTATTGTGTATGAGAAACCTACGTATATAGAAGGTGGCCAAAATAAACATATGCCAGCTGGCGAAAACATTTTGGGAATTAAGAGAAAAGTTGTAAAAAGACGCAGGGAGTCTTTCATCAGTTTTCCCTCAGGAGATTTACTTCAAAAACTTGTTTTTTGGACTAGAATAAGATTTTTCTGCAGATTTTTCTTTTCTAAAAATGTAATATTTTCCTGCACTGAGTATT